CGACACAATCTGACCCCCAGGAGTGGTGGTAGTGACCATCGTATCATGGAGGGCAGCTGTACTCACCAAGTTCGTAGAGAACGAGGGGAGGTGAAGACCTGAGAGTGAGCCGGACGGAACCGCCGGACACGGAAGAATAGTGGAGGAACGAGCAACGACTGGGCCCCCGGAGGGTCAGCCAGTCTGACCGGGATAGGTGCAGGGAGAGGAGTGAGGGCGGTGCTGTCACGAAAGAAGTAGCGTGAGGCACCTGAGTCCAGCGTGAAGGTGTGCAAGGCCTCAGCAGGCGCAGTACCAGGGAGAGAAGACTCACTAGCACCTAGAGCAGCAGCCTCTATACCTGGGTCAGGCGGCACACATAGGTAACAGTCACCCTCAGCACTAACAGACAAAGCATACATCGCAGAAAGAATAGCATCATAGTGTAGGTCAAAGATAGGAACTCCAGACCTGCTCTGCCCAGAGGGAGCGCTCGACCTCGTCACCAAACTCAGCGCGCCAAGCATCGTCGAGGTGGGAGAAGCAGCGGTGCTGAGTGTGAGGCTTCCTGCATGTCTGACCAGCACGGTCACCCGTGCGAATGACATACGGGCAGCTACCACCACCCCAAGACACCCCACGCTGAGACAACCACTCACGAAGCTGCTGGGGCGACGGGGTCTCGCTCCGACGCTGCTGCCGCTGCCTTTGGCCTCCACCAGAACCTCCACGCTGAGCTCCAGTCCTACCGCCACCACTCCCACCGCTGCCACTACCGCCACTCCCACCGCTGCCTCCACTGCCGCCACCAAAGCCCCCACTCCCGCCACCACTCCCACCGCTGCCACCACCTCCACTGCCTCCACCACCTCCACTGCTGCCCCCACCACCACTCCCGCTGCCACCGCCACCACCCCTGCCACCCTTGCCCTCTCTGCTGCGGCGCTTCGCACTAGCAGAAGCAGCCCCGACTTCCTCAGCACCAGGGACGTCGACAGCAGCAGCAGAGGTGTAGGAGGGGGCAAGGGGGGAGGGAGAGCACCCCTCAAAGAAGGGTGTGCGCGGAGTGCCACGAGCAGCACCTACAGCGACTGCACTAGTCTCAGCTGCAAGGAGGTGCTGCTCGGGGAGGTCAATGGTGAGGACTGTGGGGTCGAGGGAGAGAAAGTAGTCCGTGACAGAGCGAAGAGAGTCAAGGAGGCGGGTGACTATAAAGTAGAGAGTGATGAACATCGAGGGCTGGTTCCTGACAAGGAACTCAGCTGGGGCGGCAGCGCGGTAGCGAGCGTCGCTAGTGCGAAGGTGGGAAACTAGGTCCTCTACTGTAGCAAAGGTGGACAGCTTGGGGAACAGGTAGGGCAGTAGGAGGTGGCCTAGAGCAGCAGTGGCAGGGGAGGAGTAGCGAGCGGCGATAGCGTCGTGTAGTGCCTATGCTGTCCGAAGTGAGCGCATTCGGCCAACGGCAGATGGTTGCGAATGGCTAAGCGGGCAGCAGTGTTGCGAGTAAGCCACTGTGAGCGAGTCGCACTGTCAGCTATGGTGGGAGGGGCGGGAGCGGCGCCAGGCGTGTGGTCAAACAATGAAACACTGTCCCTATAGTCGCTCACTAGGTACAGCTGCAGGTTGACGAGCCACGTGTCAAACTGGATAGGGCGGCCCTCAGGATCGAAAGTGAGGACGCGAAGAGAAGCCATAGCACCAGAGGAGAGGGGCAGCTAGCAGGTTGCGAGAGAGCAGTTCGCAGGCTGCAAGGGGCGGCGAGCAGGTCGCAAGGGGCGGCTAGCAGGCTGCAAGAGGCGGCACGGGGGCTGCAAGGGGCGGCGCACGTGCGGCAAGAGGGGCAGTGCGCGGGCTGCAAGAGGTGCTGGCGGGCCGTAAGCGGGCGGCGCGCTGGCTGTAGGGGCGGCAGCCGGGCCGGGGCCTAGGGGTGTTGGGCGGGCCGGGCCTAGGGGTCGACAGGGGGTCGGGGCCTAGGGGTTGACGGGCGGGCCGGGCGTAGGGGTCGACGTGGGGGGCCGGGGCTAGGGGCGACGGGCCGGGGCCTAGGGGGGGCGACGGGCGACGTGCCTAGGGGCGACGGGCGCCGGGCCGGGGCCTAGGGGCGAAGGGCGACGGGCCGGGGCTAGGGGCGATGGTCGACGGGGCCGGGGCCTAGGGGCGATGGGCCGAGGGGCGATGGGCGACGGGCGACGGGCCGGGGCCGGGGCCTAGGGGCGACGGGCTACGGGCCGGGGCCTAGGAGCGTCGGGCGACGAGCGCGGGCCTAGGGGCGACGGGCCGGGTGTTGTAGAGGATTCTCCTCTACTTTGCAGGAACTGGGATTTGTACTAATCAGTAGAGCTCTGTCTTAGCTTTCCAACGGGCCGTAGATCACCTCGATCGCCTACGTATCGAGCGAGATATAGGCGTTTATGTGCTAGGTAGTGCTCTTGGAATCAAGGAGAGGAACTCTCTGGATTTTGTAGTCGAATGTATCACATACAAAGTGATTCTCGATTTCAGTATATGCCATGCAATACAAAGCAAACATATTTATATGAACTGCAATGCATCGAGTCGCACATGTAACCTCGAGTCGCTACACTCTCGAATGTTCGAGTAACATTTCGAAGGGGTGAAATTCGGAACTCGAATTTCACCGAATCGAATTCTCCTTCAGTCTCGATTCTTCTTGTGCTGCCATGTGGCACCGAAGTGCAGGTTCTTCCGAAGTCAACCCATACTTCTTGGAACCTGCAACACATTCATGAAACATCCAACTTGCAGCTCACTCAACCGTGAGCACTAGAAGGAACACTTTCAGTGGTTGGGGGCAATCCTTGCCTCACGCAACCTCCAACACCGGGGTCTAGGGGCGTCAGGCGACGGGCCGGGGCTAGGGGCGACAGTCGACGGGGCGACGGGCGACGGGCCAGGGCCTAGGGGCGACGAGCGCGGGCCTAAGGGCGACGGGCGACGGGCCGGGGCCTAGGGGCGTCGGGCGACGGGCCGGGGCTAGGGGCGACGGGCGCGGGCCTAGGGGCGACGGACGACTGGTCGGGGCCTAGGGGCGTAAGGCGACGGGCCGGGGCTAGGGGCGACGGGCGCGGGCCTAGGGGCGACGGGCGACGGGCCGGGGCCTAGGGGCGTCGGGCGATGGGCCGGGACTAGAAGCGACGCGCGCGGTGCCTGGGGTCGATGGGCGACGGGCCGGGGCCTAGGGGCGACGGGCCTAACGGCCGCACGAGGGCGGCGCGTGGGGCAGCAGGTGCGGCACGAGGGTCGCTAGGGGCGGCTAGTGGGGCATCGCAGTGGTGGGCCCAAGGAAAAAAACAGTCCTAGCGAAGGACCTGCTCTGAAACCATGTCGAAGTAACGAACGAGAATAAATAAACTATGAAAGAGTTGGGTACAAGTACTAATCTTAATTGGGTTATACCCTTTATGGGCTACCCCATTATAGCCTATACAAATGTAAGCACTATAACATTCGGACACAAGGGCTATATTTCGATCGGGCTTCCTGGCGACACACGTGATTAGTAACTAACCCTACCGAAGTTCGCTTCTGCTTGTTGCAACAGATCAGTCGAATGAATGTAAACACCTTGGGCGGCGGGAAGAATACAATGTGGCCACAAACACGTAATCGTACGGTACTGAAATTCGCGTGGTCTCACTAAACTTTGATATGGAAAGGACATGCGACTAGCATGAAAGGATCAATTGTGATTATGATTGTTTTCGACGAAATTCTCCCTCCAGATCGCGTGGCGCCAGACGGATCGCAGATCGCATCAAGTCTAAGCAATCCGATCCGATCAAAAGCTGTTTGCCTCAGATCGCCCCGATCTGCACCACGTCCTTAGTTTTCCTGGAGTTGCTGACGAAGCTTGCTACTGTTAGAACTTGACGAACTTTCATGCAAGTAAATTGTTGTTGAGCAACGGAGTCAGATCAAAATGAAAAACTAGTGTATCTGTATCAGGGCTGCTATGTTTTGACCGTTTGTTGCTAATCATGGAGAATGTCCAAGAGTTACCACACTTCCCATCGTGATTCGTCGGGACTAGATGACGTGGTAGTGCATCAGAAAGAGACTTTGCCATTCTAGTTTTTTTGCACTCCTGGAATTCCAGTAGGGCGAAAATGGCCTGCTGTTTGAAGCGCTTAGATTTTTGTTTGGCACACGAAGAGTTCTGTCCAGGCTTTTCTGGAAGTCCCAGATTAACGTTTTCCGTCCTGGAGTAGAACGTCTCTCGAGAACAAGCTAACGAATATCCTCATTCTGGACATGATTAGTTCAAACTCAAAACTTGCCAAGAGGGAATCACGATGAGTTCAGTAATCACCACCTTCGTGCCAATATCCGGGGTCTCCCGTTTCGGTTGCGACTTTTTGGCTGGGAAACTTGCCATGTCTGAAATCACTCAAAAAGCGCCAACTTCAACCTCCAGGAACGATAGCAGACCAACACGACATCAATTTACAACCCATCTTCTCCTACACAGCTTCTTTCTTACTTTCTTTCTGGCGTAGGTGCCAGCATTTTCAGAATTCTCCCCACCAGTCGAACGAGTTTTGTTCCTTGCTGGCATTGTTGCGCATTTTGCATGGTACCTCTCAGAATTGTAGACAACTCGTCTCGCCTGTTGGGCTTGATGTGAGTTGCCCTCATAAGTCCACTCAAAGCACCCTCCCGCAAGCCCATCGCTTTCTTGTAAACTAGAATGGCTTGCTCTCCTCGCCATTCTCTCTGAGCGAGAATCACGAAAATGCGTTTCCCGTTTTCTTTCGTCGTAACTGGCCAGTAACCCAATGATCTAGAGCCGGGGTTAGGCGGTTCAGCGGTATGTCGATTCAGCTTCTCTCTGTTCCTCAGGCTGAGCTTCCTACCCTAATTCTCGTTCTTCCATTCTCTTTAAGAGAGGACAGTTGATTTCAAACTAGCTCATTTCTGATTACCGCGCTCGCCCACGAGGTTCTTTTCGCTCACAATTAGCTGCAGCCCGACTTTTTAAAGTCAGTATCCGCTTTTGCACGATGCAAACAACGCGGGACCGTCGTCCCGCGCACGGCGCAATGCTTACGTTTCAGCAGCAGCAACAGCAGCAGCAGCAGCAGCAGCAGCAGCAGCAGCAGCAACAGCAACACCACCAGCAGCAGCAGGCAAATAAAGCGTCGCAGCTCATTCACAAGCTTCATCAGCCCAACGCCATCGAGTCGCGCCAGCAGCAGAAGATCCTAAATCTCCAGCACAAGCTGGCCGCCGCTCCCGTCGCTCCCGGCGCCGCCGGCCCCGTTAGCCCCGCTGGTAACCACCCGTTCGTCCCGCCGAATGCCACGCAGCCTCGGCGCCCCACGACGCCGACAATGGGCAGCGCGATAGGCAGCGCAATGGGCGCCGCGGTCGGCGGCGCCATGGGCGGCGTGTCGCACCTTTCCAACTGGCTGAACGAACTCCCCGCAAAAGCCGCGCGCCAGGTCGGGGGGGAGCAACGCGGGAGGCCGGCGGCGGGGATTGGCGGAGCGGAGAAAGGTGGCGGGGGGGTTGCGCGGAGCAGGTCAAAATCCCCGCTGATGGGTCGCGCTATTTCTCGCGATGGCGGCGGCGGAAGCGCCGTTGAGCGGAGCCGCTCGAAGTCCCCCATTCTCTTCCGCGGGGCCTCTGTTCCTGATGCACCTGGCGGAGGTTTCGCGGGCGGAGGTTTCCCCCGCGCGGATTCCGCACATACGGGGGTGGGGAACATGCGCGGAGGGCCACAGCCGTCGCTGCAGCGAATGCGCACGCCTGAGGCGGAACGGCCTGGCGGACCTGTAAATCAGCCTCGGCATGTCCGGGTGAGCGGCACGGGTTCTGGAGGTTCGGGATCCGGAGGGTCGGAATCTGCAGGCTCGGGATCTGGAAGGTCGGGAACGCGAGTTCCCGCGCAAGCCGTGCGCAGTGGATCGGGAGAAGGGGAAGAGCGGCGGGTGGCGCGGGACGGCAGCGGGCGGAGCTCTGCGGGCGGCAGCACTAGGGAGGGCGGCAGCGGTAGGGAGGGTGGCAGCGGACGGCATGCCGCTGGCGGTGGCTGGCAGGGTGGTGGCAGCGGCCGGTCGCATGGGGCCAGTGGCCGTCAAGAAGGTGGCAGTGGCCGGCAGGTGAACGCTCGTGGGCGGCAGGAAGTGGGATACGGGCGGCACGACGAGCATAGCACGGAGAGGGGCCAGAATCATGCGCGGGAGAGGAGGGAGAATGGGCGTGGAAGTGGGAGTGATGGCAGCAGTGTTGGGAACTGGGACTTTGTAGAGCAAATTGAGGAGCCCTATAGCGGGGATGGATGGAGGAAGAGAGGAGACGGCGTGGGACGGAGGGAGAGGGATGATTGGATAAGAGATGAAAGGGAAAGGAGTGCGATTAGGACGGGGGATGGAAGGAGTGGGAGGAGTGAGGGGAGGAGTGGGAGGAGTGAGGGGAGGAGTGGGAGGAGTGAGAGGAGTGAGAGGAGCAGTATGAGGAGCAGTAAGAGTGGGAGTGGGAGGAGTGACGATGCGGATAGTGATTATAGCGGGAGTGGGGCGGGGAGTGTGAGGTATTTTCCAGAAAGAGGGGGGAGTAAGAAGAGGCCTACTTGGATGGAGGAGGATGGGGATGATTTTTTTGAAGAGGACGGAGAGGAGAGAGAGGAGAGAGATGAGAGAGAGGAGGGAGAGGAGGGGGAGGAGGATGGATTTGAGGGAGAGGGGATGGAGAGGGGAGGTGGGGAGTGGCGCGGTCAACAGGTGCGCCAAAGGCAGATTCAGGTCGATTTGCCATCTGCTAGTCAGGAGGACAGAGAGGGGGGGCGAGGGGGGTACCAGCCGAGAGTGCGGAACGAGGGACAACGAGTAGGAAAAGCGGGAGGAAGAGGAGGAGGCGGAGAAAGAGGGAGAATTGGGAGAGGGAGGAGAGGGTCGGGCAGGTCAAGTGGAAGCATGGACTCGGTGCCAGAAGGAGAATGTGAGGACGAGAGAGAGAGTGGGGATGAGGGGGAGTGGGAGGATGAAGGGAGTGACTTGGACGAAGCTGGGTACACAGAGGAAAGGGTGCTGCTGGGGGAAGGGGAGGAGGGTGGTTACCGTAAGGGTGGTAACCAGAAGAGTGGTTACGAGGAGGAGAGGCGGCTCTCGGATGTGTCACTGCAGGGAGTCAAAACGCCTGCCCCCATGCCGCCCGCCCAGGCTTCTTACTCTGCTGCTTCTACTGCTCCTGCTGTGTCTGGTGGTGCGGCTGCTGCGGCGGCTGCTGCTGTGGCTGGTGGTGCTGGTGGTGCCGCTGAGAGTGGTGCTGGTGAACTGGAGCGCAGTGAGACGCTGGCAGAGAGGCAGCGGCGGCTGTACCTCACGTCCCCTTCTTTCGCCTCCATTCTGAACCAGGTGGATGACGAGAGTGATGGGGAGGAAGGGAGGGAAGGAGAGGGAGAGGAGGGGAAGGGAATGGGGAACGCAGCAAGAGTGGTGGGATCTGCAGCGTCTCGGGCAGCAGCTGCTGCTGCTGCGGCGGCGGCGGCGGTTGGTGCTGATGGTTCTGCTGATTTTGCTGCTAGTTCTGCTACTTGTTCTGGTGCTCTTGATGGGGGTATCAGGGTGAGTCCGTTTGGGGTGGGGGGCGAAGGGACGGGAGGGGGGAGGGAGACGGAGGCTCCGTCTTTGGCTGACGCGTTAGAGGAGGAGAAGCAGCGGCGCCTGCGGCTGGTGTCGCCATCGTTTGCTTATATTCTAAACGAAGTGGGTGATGACGAGGATGAGGATGAGGATGAGACAGAGCAGTTGGAACAGCAGCAGGGTCAGGCGCAGCAGCAGCAGCAGCAGCAGCAGCAGCCGGGACAGAAGCAGGGACAGAAGCAGCAGGGACAGACGCAGCAGGGGCAGAAGCAGCAGGGACAGACGCAGCAGGGGCAGAAGCAGCAGCAGAGTGGTGTGGAATCAGAGGAGCAGCGGAGGCTGCGGCTCATCTCGCTATCCTTCGCTCACATCTTGAAGGAGATCGATTCAGACGACGACGACGATGATGATGACGACGCTGCTGCTGCTGCTGCTGCTGATGCTAGTGCTGGCGCTGCTGCTGTTGATGCTAGAGATAGTAGGGACAATGGGACTGCCAGTAGCAGTGCTGGCGGGGGCGACCTGTCATTCGACCTCTCCGCTGCGCACCGAAACTCACGCTCCACTTGCTCCCTGCCCTCCCCAGTTGCCGCCTCCCCCAGGAGCACCTCCCCCGATGCACTCTTCCTCCGCCCTGGCTCCCCCTGGCACAGCAGGAGCTGCTCTGCTGCTTCCGCGGAGCTCTCCCCGCGCCTGTGGGGGGAAGGGCGGGGTGGGAGAGGGGGAAGCGGGGGACGGGGGGGAGGAGCGCCGGGGGGAAGGGGAGGAGGGAGAGGAGACAGGGGCGATGGAGGGGGGTGGGAGAGAGTGGCGGGAGTGGGGGTTGCGCGGATGGGGGGTGCGGGGGATTGGGAGAGGGGGAGGGGTGGAAGCAACGAGGATATTCTTCTTGCTGGAAGATTCTCAAGGAGCAGGGAGCCATCGCCGTCCAATGAGGGGCTGCCACGTAGCATGAGTGCAACAGTGGTGGGAAGCAGGAGCAGGGAGGCATCCCCTGGGGAGGCTGGTGCTGCTGGTACCGGCTCTAGTGGCAGGGCGGAGGGGAGGCAGGGAGAACAGGGGGGGCAGGGAGGGCAGGGAGGGCAGGGAGGGCAGTGGGAGCAGAGGGAGCGCAGTCAGCAGCACATACGCGCGAGGGGAGGGGGCTCCCTGGGGGGGTTCACCTCTCCTTTGCCGCGTGCCGCTACTGTTGATGGCAGCAGCATTCCCATTACTAGCAGGGTCAGCGCTACCACCGATGCTGCTAGTGCAGCCGGTATGCATGACGGTGCAAGGCCCAGGGTCCTCCTAGGCTCCCCAGCAGGAAACACCCTGGGTGCAGCAGCAGCAGCGGGTGGGCATGGGCACACCACAGCGGCCGCTCTGATCAGCCCGCGGGAAGTCCGCATGCAGGGGCAGAGGGGGCAGAGCTCCCGTCCAATGCTCGGTCCTTTTGACGCGCCTCACCATTCCCGTCCGATGCTTGGACCTGCTTTTGAGTCGACTCAAAACAATTCCCGTCCGATGCTTGGACCTCTCTCCCAGGGTGCTCCGCAGGACGGTCACATGCCTGTCTCCCCGCACCTTGCCCTGCCACAATCCCCGCACCTCGTGCAGCCTCTGGCTCGTGTGCCTGAGAGCAGCAGCGCGGAGGAGAGCGATGGGCCGTTTGGTGAGCGCGGGATGGAGGGCGGGTGGGCGGGAGGGCAGGCAGGAGGGCAAGTGGCAGGGCGGACAGGAGGGCAGATGGGAGGGCGTGGGGTGGCACCGCAGGGGGGAGGGTTTCGACGGATGATGCACAAGAGCATGAGCGAAGGGGGTGACGGTACGTCGCTCGTTCCGGGGGTTAATCTGCGGCATTTTTCCAGTGCTCCTGACGTGGCGGATGGTGACGTGGATGGTGGTGACGTGGCAGGGGTTGTATCGCCAGATGGGCGCAGGCTGCAGAGGAGGTATTCGTCAGAGGTGGACAGACAGCGGCAGCGGCAGGAATGGCAGCAGCAGCAGCAGCTGCTGCTGCAGGCAGGGCAGCATCAAGTAGTAAGAAGGTCTGGCAGTGGGGACGTGAGGGTTAGCATGCGTCCCAGAAGCAACTTCAGTGAAAACGCAGTTGAAGCAGGAAGGGGAGTGAGGCCAACAGGGGCGGCTGCTGGTGCTGTTGGGGCTGCTGTGGCTGGTGGGGTTGCTGCGGGTAGTGGGGAGAGGCGGCTGGCTAGACACCAGTCAGCCGAGACCGAGTCGCTCAATCGGCCAATCAGACGCGGCCACGTGGCATCAGTGGATTTCTCCCCTCCTCGCAGCCCGCTTTCCAGAATGGCCCACTCTCACTCTGTTGACTACTCGCCCCCTCATTCCCACCAGCAGTCCTACCTTACACCTGAACACGAGAATGCTACAGGGGAAATAGACCTCTCCCCTCATCACAGTCACCATCCAGTCATGTCACACTCTCATTCTCTAGACCGCTCCCCTCCCCAACTTCGCCAGACCTCCACAGCAGCTCTGGTCAGCCCCCGAACTGGCCTTGTCCCGAGCCAAAGCTCTAGCGCCGGCAACGTGCGGTTTGTGATTCGGCGGAGTGCCACCATTGATGGACCAGGTGGTGGTGGTGGTGGTGGTGGCGGTGCTGGTGCTGGAGGTGCTGGTGGTGCTGGTGCTGGTGGTGCTGGTGGTGCTGGTGGGAGCAGTGGCAGTGGGAGTGGCAGTGGCAGTGGCATGAGGCAGAGGACCAAAAGCAGCAGCGTCAGCGATCTGTCCGATGCTCCTCGCTCTGCTGTTCATGTCACTGCTGCTGGTGCTGTTGGTGCTGCTGGTGGTGCTGTCGGTGCTGCTGGTAAACGCCTTCTTTGTCCCCCCAAGCTCTCCACCAAAGTATCCCCCTCCACATCCCCCACCACCTCCCCCAGCGATTCCCCCTCTCCATCTCCCTTCAACAAGCCGCGGGGGGAAGCTCCTTTTAACTCTCCTGTTGTGGGGGAGGGCCTAGGTAGGGACGGCAGAGGGCAGGGAGGAAGCTTCGACGAAGGTTCCTCGCAGATGCAGACGAGAAGCAAGCAGCCGCAGAGGTTCAGCTCGTCCTCTTCTGCCTCCTCGGCAGGTCATGCTTCAGGTGGCGGTTCAGGTGGCGGTTCAGGTGGCGGCTCAGGTGGGCCACGAACGCCCACCCGCTCCTCCTCTACTTCTAGTGCTGCTGCAGCCCCCCAAGCCCATGAAAGCACACCCAAAACACCGACTCGAACCTCCTCTGCATCCACTGCATCTGCTCATAACGAGGATAAAGGCAGGCCCAGAACGCCCACTCACACTTCCTCCTCTGCATCCAGCGAATCTGCTCATAATGAGGATAGAGGCAGGCCCAGAACGCCCACTCGTATGCCCGTTTCTGCTTCTGTTGGGTCTGCTTATAGTGGGGATAAGGAAAAGCATTCTACGGGTGAACAGAGAGTTAAGACTCCTACTCGCATGCCCTCCTCTGCTTCCACTGGGTCTGCTTATAGCGAGGATGTGCTGGCGTCAGGCAAAGGCAGGTCTAAGACTCCCACTCGCATGCCGTCCTCTGCTTCTACTGGGTCTGGTTATAATGGGGATAACAACCCTTCAGGTGAAAGGAGGTCCAAGACCCCCACCCGAATGCCGTCTTCAGCCTCCACTGGATCCGGTAATAACGGGTCTGCTTATACTGAAGCACAGGCACGACCCAAAACGCCAACTCGCACCTCCTCTCCTGCTTCAGCATCCTCCTTACAAGACGACTTGCTTGAAGACGATGCCGCGTTAGAGGAGGTTCACCAGTCGTTTTTCCGCGCCAAGGGAAAAAGATTTCTGGAAAAAGCAATGAAGGGGTTTAGTAAACTTGTGGGAGGAGGGGTGGGAGCAGTGAACATTCTGGGAGGGGAGTATAGGGATGTAGGGGCGTTGTATGCGGTGCAGATGGATAAGGAGCTTGGGTCGGGACAGTTCGGGGTGACACGGGTGGCGGTGTGCCGGGCGACGGGGGAGAAGTTTGCATGCAAGTCAATCAACAAGGCTGCTCTGAAGGTCAGTTCGTTTGCGCTAATCAGGGCCAGCTCTGTCTTGCTCGCGTTTGGTTTTTCAGCCAGTCAAGGTGCCTCTGCTACTAGCACGCTACTTGTTCTTCAGGTCTGCGTCAAACAAAGCTCGTTATCCGCCTTCAGTCATCTCATCAGGCTAGTTATCCACCAACAGTCATCAGGCTAGTTATCCACCAACAGTCATCAGGCTAGTTATCCACCAACAGTCATCAGGCTAGTTGCTCAGTAGCATTTATGAGGCTACTTGATCGGCAGCAGTCAACAGGTTAGTGTCTCGCCAGCGGTCGTCAGGCTTGGTCGCAGTTATCAGGCTACTTGTTCTACAGGAGTTATCAGGCTAGTTATTTGTCAGCAGTCACCTGGTCAATTACTCATAGGTTAGCAATCGCAGCAATCATATGTTAGTTACTTACCAACAGGTATCAGGCTAATAATCTGTCAGCAGTCATCACGTTAGTTATTATCAACAGTCCTCAGGCTACTTAATCGCCAGCAGTGATCAGGCTAGTTACTCGTCAGCATTAGTCTAGTGATTCGCCAGTGATCATCAGGCTAGTTATTCTCCGGCGGTTAGCAGGCCACTTAATCAACAGCAGTCATCTGGCTCGTTATTATTCGCCAGTAGTCACTCGCCAGTAATCATCAGGTTGTCAATGTGAAGGTACCATCAGGCAATGTCGATGTGCGTCTAGTCGAAGCCAACCTGTCATTGTTCCTTCAGTCAACGTAGCTTCGGTCATTTTCAAGTATCTTGACAGTTTTTTTAGGGTATTTACTCGTCAGCAGTCATCAGGTTAGTGTCTCGCCAGCAGTAATCAGGCTAGTCATTTGTCAGCAGTCACGAGGCTAATTACTCGTCAGCAATCATAGGCTAGATGCGCAGCAGCAGCAGATTTCAGGCTAACTATTCGCCAGCAGTCATCAGGCTAGTGATTACCCAGCAGCCCTCAGTCAACCAGCAGTGATCAGGCTGGCTACTCGTCAGCAGTCATTGGACTAGTGATTCGCCAATGACCATCAGGCTAGTTATTCGCCAGCAGTCATCATCAGGCTACATGATCGCCAGCAAACATCTGGGTAGATATTCTTCGCCAGCATTCACAAGGCTAGTTATTCGCCAGTAGTCATAAGGCTAGATATTCGCCAGTTAATCAGGCTACTTATTCGCCGGCAGCCATCAGGCTAGTCATTTTGAGGACTCTCTCGTCAGTAATCCCTGAATCCGCAGCACGGGATTTGCTTGAGTGCATTTGCGAGCAGAACTAGCCAATGTTCGAGCGAAAGTATCTTGCGGCTGTGGTGAATTTCAGTCTGTGCAAAAAGGTCTGGCGAATCCTATCTAGACTGAGCCAATTTTGTAACTCCTGTAACCCTAGTCTCGTCGGGCAGGAGAGGGTTGGCAGGAGAAGGTGGAATGTTAGTGGATTCACAAATTCTACACCAGTCCGCTCGAAGATTGAAAAATCAGGGTCACACATATCAACCTATCGAACTTGTCAAGCACATTCTATATGCGAAGGAATATTTATGAAGGCTGAGCCGCAAGGCCGTCTGAATACACAATACTTAGCTAACAATATTACATTATTCACCTCCCATTTCCATCATTGAATTGGTTAACAAAATTGCTTCATTTACCTTCGCTTGACAGATTCACATCACTCGCCCAATTCACATCAAACACCTGATTTAAGCTGACTCGCTCTGCAAACTCCTTTCAATCTCGCCTCTCTCACCCCCCATTGTTCCCATCCTGTCATCCTTGTTTATTTCTTCGCGAGCAGAGCAAGACAGATGCGGACGATGTGAGGCGCGAGGTGGCTATAATGGAGATGCTTAAAACGCACCCCAAGGTGGTGCAGCTGAAGGATGTCTTTGAAAACGAGCAGGTGAGAATCTGTTGGGTGTGAGTGAATGAGTGAGGGGGGTTCAGTAAGCTGCTCAAGTCAAATCGGCACTCGTCCCAGCAACTTCACGCCTGTCAAGAACCCCACCATATCTGCCCCTCAATACCCTCCCTCCCACATTTGCCATTCAAATCAGCACTCGTCAAACATCCCCCCCCCCCCCCCCCCCCCCCCGCCCTCAATCCTCTCCCCCTCGAAGGCCGTCCACCTGGTGATGAAGCTCTGTTCGTGGCGGCGAGCTGTTTGACTCAAATCAAAACCTGTCAAATCTCCCCCTCTCTCCGTCTCATCTCCCTCCCCCCGCGCCCCCACTCGAAGGCCATCCACCTGGTGATGGAGCTCTGTTCGTGGCGGCGAGCTATTTGACTCGAGTCAAAACCTGTCAAATATCCCCGTCTCTCCGTCTCCCTCCCCGCCTCGCCCCCCCTTAAAGGCCGTGCACCTGGTAATGGAGCTGTGTTCGGGCGGCGAGCTGTTTGAGCGAATCAAGGAGCGGCGGCGGTACAGCGAGAGGGAGGCGGCTTTGGTGATGCGCGCGGTGCTGGGCGTGCTGCAGAGCTGCCACCAGCGCCACCACGTGGTGCACCGCGACATCAAGCCCGAAAACATCCTCCTCGCCCACCCCTCCTCCCACACCGACGTCCGAATCATAGACTTTGGGATCTCCGCTATCCTCAAGCCAGGTAAAAACTCCTCCATGTCGTTCTCTCAGCCAGGACAAAATCCTTCGTTTGTGTTTTGAGCCCCCTCGCCCTCCTCCCACACCGATGTCCGCGTCATTGACTTTGGAATCTCCGCCATCCTAAAGCCAGGTACGAGATCCCCCATATGACTCATTCTTGAGAATTCCAAAAAATGACTCCTCCCACACCAACGTCCGCATCATTCATTTCGGGATCTCCACTATCTAGGTGACTTTTGAGTCGACTCAAAAGTCAATTCATTTCGGGATCTCCACTATCTTAAAGCCAGGTACGGGGTCCTCCATTTCTTCTTCCACACTGCATCCTGCCAAAGTTCCTGACTTTTGAGTCACCTTGAATATGTTCAAAGGTCACTTTGGTTCCCCATTCGCTCTTCTGCACCGCATCCTACCAATCCTTAACGCCTCCACCAAACCTCTTCCTCTCCCTCCTCGGAGCCGATCAAACAGTCATTCCTCCATTCCCTTCTTACGCATTGTCAGTTTGCTTTATTGTGTGAGATGACCATTAATTCCATTCGACAACCCTCTTCCTCACTCTCACACATTGCAGATTCAGTAACCCTTACCCCTCAATTCCTCCTCCCTCCCCATCCCTTACACCAGGCTCCAAGCCACTGTCTGATTTTGTCGGCTCGCTCTACTACGTCGCCCCAGACGATTTTTTATGCGTCTGAAAAAACCCCTCCTTGTCTCTCTCCCTCACTCCCCCCCCTCCTCCCCCCCCCCCCCCCCCCTCCTCCCTCCTTTCTCGTACACCAGGCTCCAAGCCGTTGTCTGATTTTGTCGGCTCGCTTTACTACGTCGCCCCAGAGGTAATCGAAGGCTCTTATGGCTTCCCAGCGGATGTGTGGTCGGCAGGCGTTGTCTTATACGTGCTGCTGGCCGGCATACCGCCCTTCTGGGCCAAGACAGAAGCGGATGTGACCAAGGCGATTCGGGAGGGGAAGGTGGGATTCCGGGGCGCTGTGTGGAGAAATGTGTCAGATTCGGGGAAGGATTTGATTCGCCAGCTGCTGACGCACAACCAGAAGAAGAGAATCACTGCTCGTGCTGCCCTCGGTACGTATTTGGCGTTGCATACATAAGTTGTGGCCTAAGTACAAATCAGTGTGTACCTACCTTTTCTTCTCCCTTCACTCATTTAAGCATACTCTATTCCCCATCTTTCCCATACCGTACTGCTTGTGCAGAGCATCCTTGGTTCCGCAAGTGGGATTCATAGTGTTGCGATCAGAAAGTAGATCGTGCCTAGGATCACCTCAGGAAGGTTCGCAGAATCAGGGTGTTGCTGCGGAAGATAGTGACCTCAGATAAGAGTGAATTTAAAATGACAGATGATTAAAACATGCAAATACAACTGTTTATATAAGAGTACAGGGAGAATACGAAAGGTCCTAGTCTAGCCATGTACTATAACGGGTACATTCCCTTATTCGAATTCAAATCCAACCGTGCGGCGCGTGCAGTTACGAAACAGTTCCCGCCAAATTCCTTGTTCCTGCAGCTGCCCGATGTTGTCTGCTCCGACGGTCCAGATGCCTCGTAACCGTGTGCGTCGCTTCGACCCCTCGCCTTCTTACTCTCTTCTGAGTTCTTCGTTCTTGCTACTGGCAGGAATACACAGTAACGTTTCTCATTTCACTATTCGTAACACCCCCCTTCATTCCTTCCTTGCCGTAGCAAGTCTTGACTCGCTTGACTACTCCGCTAAGTTCGGAGCAGTGCTGATACTGCTGACTGGGCAGTCGTTTGGTGAGGAAGGCGGCTGCCATGTCACCCGTTGGACAGTAGGTCAAGTTGTCAAAACACAGATTTACATATGACTTTAGTTATGCTAGGCTGTAGTGGGGCACTCCTTAGAGAGTACTGTAGTTTTAGGTTTCCATCTTGTACCTCTCGACAATCTCATCAATGCATCCTTTCCTCTCTAGCCTAGCAAGCCATGGCTACTAGTTAGTCCTTATTACAACACAAGTCGACCTTGCCCTTGTCCACTTCGTCCTCGACGAAGAAGTACCGCAACGCAATGTGTTTGGTGCGGTTGACGAATCATGGCTTGGTCGCGATTCGAATTGCGCTTTGGTTGTCGCAGTGAAAGCGAAAGGTTGGTGAGGTTGCGATTTTCGCTTCTTGCAGGAGTTCCTGTAGGTAGAGTCATTCGCGAACTGCTGCTGTTGTGGCGATGAATTCAGCTTCAGCTGATGACAGGGCAACCAGTTCCTGCTTCTGCGAGTTCCACAAGATCGGTCCAGCTGGCTCAAGGCGGAACAAGAACCCAGTTGTGGACCGTTGATTAACAGGGTCAGTAGCGTGATCGGCATCCACGTAGTTGGTGAGGCTGAAGGACGGGTTTGTCACTGTTGAGTAGCAGAGCCCAATGTTGGGCGTGGAGATGAAGAACTGTAGGGCGCGCTGAAGATCTAGAAGATTCTCAGCTGCCGTTTTGCGGGAGTACTAAGCCAGCTGGTTCGCGACGTAGGAGAGGTCTGGTCTGCACGTCACTGAGGCAAAGAGCAGGCAGCCCAGCTGCTATTGGTAAGTCTGAATCCTAGTAGGGGACAGGGCTTTGTTGTCGGGTTTGTGGTTTGGTTCGGGGGTGCGGTAAGGGGTGGAGAGTGGTGCAGGCGCGATGTTGAAGCGTTTGCCAAGTTCTTCTGCGTATTTGGCTGCTGAGAGGTGAATGGCTTCATGAGCATAAGAGATGGTGAGGCCAAGGAACTGCTTCATGTCATGGTTGTAGGTGATGTCTTCGCGCCACGCAAAATTATTTTTGAATTGTTCGAGCAGTTCGTTGCTTGACCCTGAATAGAGTAAGTCGTCGGCGTAGACCATGAGCAGAATGTACTTGCCGCGGAAGTCTCCGCGATACATTCCGGGATCGTGGGGAAGTTGCTTGAAGCCTATCTCGAGCAGGATGTTGTGCAGGTACTGCTGCCAGAGCCTTGGCGCCTGTTTGATCCCGTAGAGGGATTTTCGCAGCTGGCACACACGTGAATCTCCTTCACTGTATATGTGTGGTTGCTCCACGTAGATTACCGCATCCACTAGCGCGTAGAGGAACACGTTCTTCACGTTGATTTGGCAGAGTGGCAAGTGTCTTGTGGCGGCGATGGCGAGCAGGATCCTGACGAAGGAGTGACGGATGACTGGCGCAAACGTCTGGTCGAAGTCAATGTCATGTCTCTGGTCATAACCACGTACAACCCAGCACGTCTTGAAACGCTCAATCGTGCCATCTGCTGCGGTCTTCACATGGAAGACCCATTTTCTAGAGAGAATTCTTCTCCCTTTGATCGCGACATGGTTGACGAGTACCTAGGTGTCGCGGGACTCAAGCGCCTTGATTTCTGCATCCATCGCCTCACGCCACTCCTTGCTATGTGGTCCTGTGAGTGCTTGCTGCAGATTCTTGGGTTCGATGACACGTGGCGCTGTTGAGGTGGCGGTGTGAAGTCCTAGTAACTGCAGTCCTGAGACGGTAATGTCGTGGCAATGCTCGGGAATAGCCTCCTGCACGTCATCGTCGTAGCTCTCTGGCTTGGGTGGCGGTGGCGGCGCTGCGCCTCTGCTGCTTCCTTCTGCTCCGCCGGCTCCCCCTCCTGATGGTTCCTCATCGTCGTCGTCGATGCTGTGGCGATCGACTCCTGTGAATCCGTTGGTGTTATCCGGCTCCAGGATGGTTGCGGCGGCTACAACCTCGGGCATGGCATAGCTATGCCCATCATTGGTGTAGACGCAATACGCGTTCGTCTGCTCGTCTTCGCGGAACTGAGCGAGATTGAGCCATTCGTAGAGAATAACATCGCGTACGTTCGTGAATTTTTGGCTGAGAAGATCCAGAATGATCCATGCTTTGTATTCGTAGCTTATCCCCAGGTGGATGCCCCAGCGCGCGCGACTTTCGAACTTGCGGATAGTTGAGGTTGGCGGGCGATATTGCACCATGCACCCACACACGCGGAGCATGGAGGTATCACCTTTCGTGCCTGTCCACTTCATGTGCGGGGAAAGGTTGCCCGTGATAGCCATGGTGGAAAGAAGATTGTGCACCCGCACACCGTGGTGCATCACACACGGCCAGTATGTCGAGGAAGCTTCTACTACTTCAGTAGCGCTCGCAACTTTGTCATGAGCGTGCAGTTTGTGTGCTTGGCGACGCCCTGCTGCGGATGTGTGTAAGGGAAGGAGATGTGGTGCACAATGCCTTTCTGCGCCAGGTAGTCCTGCCGCTCCTTGCTGCGAAATTCAGCTGCACCGTCCGATTGCCAAATCTTCAACTTCTTCCTAGATTGCCGCTGCGCGTGTGCCAGCCAGAGGCGGAAGACCTCGTACGCTCTGCTGCGGAACTGAACGTTTGCAATCCACACATAGCGGGTTCCCTCGTCGACGAAGGTGAGCGAGTACTGTTCTTTCGTTGATTCTGCAGTAGTCGACAACGAGGATATCGCTGTACACCTTGTGCAGTTTAGGGTAGCGCTTGGTTCTTGGTTCCAGCAGAGGAAACGACTGATGACTCAGCGCAACTTCGGGGATAAATGGTGCACTTGTGCGGCTGTGATGTGCTCCTTACTTTGGAGCCGTCAGGACGCAGAAGCGCGCCAGGCCCAAACACGCCTGCCTCGATGCAGTTTTTCAGCTTCACTCGCGAGGGGTGACCGAGGCGCTGGTGCCAGAGGTCGTCGTTAGCGCGGAGCCCAGAGGTGCGCATGTAGCGCGCGCGCACTACTTCGGTGATCTTCTAGCACAGTCGATGGTGTCCCAAGGGTCCTGATGCGGCTGTACATCAGGCGGAGGTGGCCCAGGCGCAGGAAGGCATGGAGGATGACCGAGGGGAACAACAGGAGGTTCGGTTTCTTCAGTTTCTTCCGTTCCCCCCCTATGTTGTTCTTGCCAAGTGCTCCAGCCTTCACCGGAGGTGCCCCAGCCGCCTGCGTCACTGCCACTTGCGGCGCCCCATCCACCAGTGTCACTCGTTCCCCATCCGCTGACGCTCCCTCACCTCCCTTTGTCAGAAGAATAAACGAGAATGAATGAACTATGAAACAGTTGGGTACCCCACTATAGCCTAATTGGGTTGTACCCCTTATGGGCTACCCCACTATAGCCTACACAAATGTAAGCACTATAACATTCTGATACACCCCCATAGGCAAAGTGGGGGAGAACAAGTGGTCACAAGACCAGTCCAGAAAGCAAGGCAAGCTCAAGGTGGATCACAAAGTCACCACACAGTCCGAGCACAAGCAAAGGGCCACAAGGCCAGTTCACATGCAGAGTTCTATAAAAGAGAACAAACAATACAGTGATCATACCCTAGCAAGTGTAAGCATGCAGGTATAAATATATATCACAGTACAAACAAAGTCACGCAGTGAGCAAGTGAGGCAAAGTAGGCACAAGGCCCAACACTGTAGAGAAGCGCTGATGATCACCAGGCGGAAGTGCCTTGGTGAATATATCAGCAGTGTTGGCCCTAGTGGCCACGTACGCAAGACGAAGCTGGCCATGCTGCTGCAACTCTCGAGCAAGGAAGTATCGCAGAGCGATGTGCTTCATTCTGTGCTCTAGTCTGTGCTCCTGACATAAGGCAATCATGGCCTTGTTGTTTACGTACAGAACTGGAGGCAAACGAGGCTGCTCTCCCAAGTCAGTCAGCAGGTAGGTGAGCCAGCGTAGCTCCTGTGCAGCCATGGCCCCATCGTAGATCTCAGCCTCACAACTGGAGCTGAGAACCGAAGACGAGCGGGTAGACCGCCAGGAAACAGAGCCGGAGCCAAGGCTGAAGGTGTAACCCTGTGACGACCGCTGCGTAGCGGAGTCGTCAACCCAAGAAGCGTCTGCGTGACCGGTGAGGACAATTGGACCCCGTCCTCCAAGCATGAGCCCCATGCCTGACGTACTGCACAAGTAACGGAGTACCCTCTTTGCATCCCAGTGCACCTTTTGGTGCCTACCGGGAGCCATGTAGCGAGCCAGAAGGCTGAGAGGGTACGCGAGGTCAGGTCGTGTGCACGTCATCAGGTACATGAGGCAACCCACAAGCTCTGGGTACGGACCAC